CCAATACAGCCTCTTACTATTATTAAAAAAAAAAAAAAATGTTTGCAACAGCTTGTTTATCACATTGACCTCCAATCAGAGTCTCACAAACTCGTTCCGCGCGCTCTACACAGCTGGCCGCTGCTGCTGGTGCATGGAGGACAGCTCGTGGTCGTCCTGACCGCGCCCCTCGTCCTCGTCCGCGCCCACGAGAGCGAGCCCCGTCTCTGCCCGGGACAGGCTGTCCGCTTTGTCTCCTGCTCCTGTCGCCAGGGAAAATGAGACGTCGATGGTAGGCAGGGATCGGTTACACATCCAGTCGATGATCTACAGTCACCGGGGAAGAGTAGTAGCCAAACTAAAAGAGTCCCCCACCCACCCACGCGGGCCGGGCCGTGCTCTTACCTTCTTGAGCGTGGAGGATCCCCGGGAGGTCGCGCGGCGCCGCACAGTGCGTGAAGCCTTTCATGCCCAGCCCGGCGACGAGCCGCAGCGCGCTGGCCGGCAGCCCCATGAAGTGGAGCGCCTGGCCGCGCTTGCCCAGCTCTCGAACGAGGACCTCGAGCCCCTGCAGATGGACGTGCGAGAGGACACACATGATGCTCGGGGGCTAGAGATTGTTTCATTGGGGAGGGGAGCAGGCCTGGTTCTGGTTGGCACAGTACCTTGACGGCGGTGTAGTCGAGGCTCCGGAAGTGCGTGCAGTCCAGGACCATGGGCAGCGCGGCGCCACCCTCGCCGGCGGCTGCAGTGACCACGGCGTCGCGCACCACCCCCATGGCCGGGAAGAAGAGCCCCACCTCTGGTCGCACCAGCACGTACTCGCCCCAGCGGGCCTGCGGGCGTTCGTTAGGGATCGTGTACACACCACGTAAATTTTGGGGGCTGGGAGGGGCGATCTAAATAGTATGAGGCCCACCCCCGAAAATCACGTGGTGTGTGAACGATCCCTGATCAATCTGAACTGCGACGGCATCGGACAGACGGTGACGCCGCTCGACGTCGTGGCGACGCGCACGGAGTTATCCAGAAAGTAAGTCCGTTATTCGCCTTACGAAACTACTAAGTTTAGTTTAGCCTCTGCAAGCTTGCATAGCACCTGATAGGTAGGCAACATCCTGGCTGCAGTGCATGTGTACACTGCGGGCTGGCCTACCCCGAGTCTCGCAGGCGCCGAGCCCCCGTAGTCTGCCGAATGAATCTGAGAAAAACGGACTTTCTTTCTGGGCGATCCCCAACTCACCTTGCACAGCTGGACGGTGATGGGCGGACGCGCCCACAGGTACACCAGGTGGGCCAGGTCCAGGCTCACGCCGAGCAGCAGCCCCGCCTCCACCCCCATGCCCAGGCACGCGGCGAACGTCAGCACGGTGACGAGCAGGGAGCGCTCTGCACGAACAAGAGGGGAGTTAAACAGTCGGTTCTCCTCGGGCGAGGCTCGCCGCGACTACCACTCGTGTACAGGAGCATGCAACGCACTGCTGTTGCGCCACAGGGGCTTGAGGATGCCGAAGTCGACGAGGAAGACCACGGCGCTGATGAGCACGGCCGCCAGCGTCGCCTTGGGGATGTAGTAGAAGTAGGGCGTGAGCAGCACGAGCGCCAGCAGGATGAGCATCCCCGAGTACAGCCCGGCCAGCGGGGTCCGCACCCCGGACGCGTTGCTCACGGCCGAGCGCGTGAAGGCGCCGCAGGTGGGCATGGAGCTGACGCACGAGGCCAGCAGGTTGCACGTGGCCAGCGTCACCATCTCCTGGGAGGCGTCCACCGGGGCGCCGTTAGCTGCGGTAGAGAGTGAGGGCGTGACAGCGCCGTTATTGGCCAGGCCAGAGGCACCAGAGGGCGGGACCGGCGGGGCGCCCGTCGAGCTGGGGTAGGCAACACCACGACACCGGGCGGCGTGGCGGGCCTGCCTATCCCGAGCCTCGCAGGCGCCTCGAGGATCCCTCTTCAACTTACAGAAGGACTTGGCGATGGCGATGTTGGCGAGAACACCCACCACTGGGACGACCAGAAGGCCGCCGCCGTAGGAGGTGGCCATGTCGACAAAGGACAGGGTCGTGTTGGCGGGACCCGGTGCGGAGAAGGGTGGCAGCGACAGTGGAGGCAGGCCTGGTTGCACTTGGCCTGCGATCGGAATGGGTTGAGGGTTATTATGGTTCACGCTGCTTCCCATGGTTGTGGCAACGGTCTCCTACTCTCCGCTTCCTTGCGTACCTGACAAGGCGAACGGCACCGGTTGATGTGCGACGTTCTCCCACACGTAGGCGGTGACGGCGCACACCAGGACGACGAGGGCGTTGCGGCCGATGGAGAGCACCCAGGCCACCCGGCGAAGGCCGCTGCCGGGCGCGCCGACGGTCCCCAGCTTCTGCACAGGAAGGGGTCGGTGAACGACGCGCGACGTGGGTGCAGCGCTCGCACCGCACCGGCCTGAGCGAGCTTCCCACCCACCTTCATGCCGATGAGCACGACGACGCAGCCGACGCCCAGCATCGAGTCGGCCAGCTTGGCCTCGGTGATGTGCTGGGCCAGCTTGCACAGCGTGTCGACAAAGCCGTGCGCCTTAAAGCGCAGCCCCAGGAGCCCCTTGAGCTGCGACACGGCGATCATGACGGAGTAGGCCGACGTGAAGCCCGAAGTGACGGGGTCCGAGATGAGGTCCACGAGGAAGCCGAGCTGCAGGAGCGCCATGCCCAGCTGCACGGCCCCGGCCAGGAACGTGAGCAGGATGACGGCCTGCACGGGCTGGTCGTGCGTGTATTGCGCCGTGAGCAGCGACATGAGGGACGTGGGCCCGATGGACACCTCCTTGATGGTCCCCATCAGGACGTACACCAGGCTCCCCAGGAAGGAGGAGTACAGGCCGTACTACTCTGGCAGATAACACACGAGACGTTTGAGCGGCGCCTTTGGCCCGGTGTGGCCGGCATGACGATGTCCTTGTCCTACCTGTGGGGCGAGCCCGGCCAGCAACGCGTACGCGATGCTCTGCGGGATGAGGGTGAGTCCGAGGGTGAGGCCCGCCACGAGGTCGGCCACGGCGTCCTCCCGCCCGTACAAGGGCATCCAGCGCACGATGGGCAGCCGGCGGCGCAGCAGCGGCCCCCATCCTCCCGAACCTGCAGGTGATTTTGTTTATTCATTCGCCGAAGGCGTTGGGGGTTCGGGTTCACAAATGCCTACGAATATTATTTGTTTCCAGTTAAACTGCACCCCCTTTTTACTTTACAGCTCTTTCACCGGCCGCGGGTGCGGCAGAACGTGCAGCCGGATGAACTCACCCCCCCCCCCTGCCTTCCCCCTTTTCCCTTCCCTCCTCTCATCTCTCGCACGGCCTGAGCTTTCTTATCACTGTCAGGTCACAAATAATGTCCTGCTAGGAAGAAAGGCGAGACGAGGGCTGTCCGCCGCGCCTACCCTTGCGGGGCTTGGAGGTGAGTCCATTCCTCCGTTTGGGAGGAACACGACCGATGGGACCAAACGAATATTTGTCGTGGACCGATAAAACTCCCGCCACCCGGAGATGTTCCATTTCTATTGTTCCAGCGGTCGATGTAAAGCGCAAACGCTCAGGGCCGAAGCAGCTTGACCCCACCGACGGACCACACCGACGACCTCGAGTGACACGCATGTGGAGCGTGGACCCGAGAGCGGGTGGTGTAGTCAATATCACTCGAAACGACAGCGACGGTGGAATCGGAACCCCTGTGCACCCTGGGGTGATGTATTCGCCCCTCCTCTGCCACCCCGCACCCGCCGTGCGGCAAGGTCGGACTGGTAGTACATCGCCACCATCGGCTCACCCGTCGGCGTCCTGCAACTCGCCCTCGGTGGTCAGGAGGGAGAGCGAGAGAGGGGCACCGTGCAGATCGGGCGCGCACTCACGTGATTTGGAGGTGCTGCTGCTCATGTGGTGCCGGCGACAGCTCTCTGCACACTGTGTGTGTACGTGAATGTGTACGAGATAGGTGCCTGCAGGGCGTGGCGTGACGCGCGCGCGCAAACATGTGTGCTCCAGGGCTAGGGTGGGGCGGCCCTCGGGCCGCTCGGCCCGCCCGGGCCACCGTGATGCTGCAGATCTGCTCGGCCATGGGAGAGGTTTTGTGGGTTTCGTTCGCAGGTTGGTTCGAGAAGTGGGCTGGTCCAGAGGGGTTTGAAACATCCCCCGCGGTCGGCCACCCACGCCGTTTGTCATTTCTGCGTATAGTCTGTGGTTGTATTTTGCGTCGTCCTTTTATATTCGTTAATCTGGCCACATCCGGTGGGGCTGTAATCCTCACCCCTCTGCCCCACCCCTTTACACGCACCGGTCCTGCTTTATCAAACTGATTCGGCCGCCATGTGGTGATGTACCTGCCGCGACCTCTGCCCGGCCCGCCCAGGGATCGTCCAGAAATGACGTCCGTTTCTGTCAGATTCCTTCTGCACATTATCGGGAGCAAGGCGCCTGCGATACTCCGGGTAGGCCGCCCCGGAGTACACGCACGCACTGCAGGCGAGATGTTGCCTACCCATCAGGCGCTCAGGCAGCATGTAGCTGAGAGCTAACTCAGCTTGGCAGGTTCCGGCAGGTTCGTAACAGCGAATGACGGAAGTACACTGTTAAAACCTCGCAATGAATTTTATTAACACATGCTGTTACTCTAGGGTTTTTAAAACATTCGGTGCTTTCGGTCTGGTGGTACGGGGAGGACCTAGAAGTCGTAGATGTAGTGGTCCCTCTTGACGTCCGGACGGAGGAGAGGCACGCCCAGGAGGGTGGCCGCCGCGACGGCCAGGCTCGCCAGCAGCGTCCGGTTCCTCCGCCGCTCCAGGGCCGCCACGCGCTCCGCGTACACCGGCGCCGGCTGGGGCACGTCGTCCAGGGTCAGCGGCCGGCACCTGGACCACTGGGACTGAGGCGGGAAGGAGAGGGCCATGGGAGTGGGATTGCTGCCTGGGGGGTTCAACCACGTGGTGCTTATCGGGTCGCACCTCCTGGTCCGGACCGTCGTCATCCTCGGGCCGGGGCCGGGCCGGGGGCTGCGACCCGGGTGCGGGGGGCCCCGCCGATGGTGGCGCCCGACCGGCCCGACTCAGCCCTTTGATCACGTTGGGAAGCGGCCTGAGCGCCATGCGGCTCTGCGCCGAATTGTAGCGATCGTGGCGGCCTCTCACTGCTGAGGGCTCCTTGGTCTGCCGGGTCTGTCGCTCCGCCTCTCGACGCGACTCCAAATAACAGGAGCGCTCTCGCGTTTTTCGGGGAGCAACAACACTCAAATGAGCTCAACAATCAGAGACGGGAGGTGCTGGGGAACCGCCTCGCCACCGAGTGGTACCGACGGAAGCGGGAGACAGTTATCATGGCCAAATTGTCGTAAAGCGAGAGATACTCTGTAAAAGTCTGACCTGGGCATGCGAGTAGTCTGCCGTAACGCATTGGGTGACGTGACGAGCGGCCCGGAGGAAGCGCTGGAACTGGCTCCACTGGCACTACAGACTGTGGGCCTGTGGTGCCGTCACCTGCTAGCCCGCGCCCGGCCGCCGGCCCGGCCCGACACCTCGTGACGGTGCAAACAAATAATTCGCAATTTCGCGGGAACTCCCGCCCGGACGCGCGCCTGGCAAACAGGAGGAGACCGCGAGCCGCGGGCGCGCGGGCGCAGGGCCGGCCGCGGGAGGCTGCGGCGCGGCCCTGGCGCTGACGCACGCTGACGAGGACGCGAGGGGATGGGGGGGGGGGGGGGGGGGAGACGTCTATGGTCTCTCTCATTCACCTTTCAACGGACGTCATGTGGCCTCCTCTCCTGGCGTGGACCTCCGTGGTGTCGCCTACCCGGTTGATAAGCGAGGGGGGAAACGACTCTTAGATCAGAACTCGTGTACAGAGTATTACCTCTAATCCCCCGTGGGTATTACCCCGTGATTTCCCTGGATCGGATTATTTAAGTCATTTGCCTCTCGTTTGTAAGCCATCTTCCAGGGGGCAACAACGGTAGCAACCTCGGCGCCATCGCTGCTCTTCCCCTCCAGCCTGCTCCAGCTGGACGATGTAGCCTCGGTCGACCACCGGCATTATTGAACCGCTCAATGTCCTGTTCCCAACGAACTTACTTCCGGTGTTTAGGATAAAGGACGACAGAGTTTTATGAAGAAAGGTTCAAGTTTATGTGCTTCAAAAAATTTATTCAATGCAGAGACTTTACAATAGTTCAGTACAATGAAGGAACTAATAAACAAATTATTAAGGGCCAAAATTGGTGCTGTCCAACCGTTAATATTTACACTTTTGTAATTTATAGTTTGGAATTGTTTAAGATATCTATAATTCAAGTATCTATCTTACTTCCCGACAATTTTCTGTTATGAACACCTCAGTCAAACATATCCACATTTAAATTTTATCAACGTTTTCTCCATTAAAAATAAAGTACTTTACACTTCTGAGACAGAGCTTCAATTCGCTACAAAATAAACAATCTAGTATGAAAAAGAAACAATATAAAAATAACGAAACATATAAACACTAATGGGGTGTCACATCCTGTGAAGGATAAGATTATAACACAAGTAGGACTGGCAAAATGGGCCCATAAAAATGGTAATAAAAATTGACCTACTTATCTGATAAATTGACCAAGATAGCAATGCTCTGAACAACATGTTTTAAATTTTGAATTCTACAAACTCATCAACCCTACAATTTTTAAATGTATTAGTAAAGAAGAATGGTGATTTTA